CAGCGGATTTGAAGGAGGGTCGTCGGGAGTATGTCGGGTTTTGGCAATGGAGACGGTGCCAAAACCGCTTTTCCCGAGGGTTTTTCCGCGACTCCAATTCATTGTAATATTGCGTGCTCAATTATGTGCATCGTTGTTATCACTTACCATGTATTATGTTTATATAATACATTTTGTTTTGAGTGGTCATCAAGTAGATTTTGCTAATACACCGACGCTCGTGTTTTCCTAATTTATCATCAATCAGGATCAAATCCTTGGGTAAAGATTCTCTAACAGGTTTCTGTGCGTCGCAAGCAACTTGCATTATCAAATTCCACGTGTTTTGTCGACCAACAAATCTATCTATATCTATATCTATATCTATATAAAGAGACAACTTATTTATCAAAAATAGTAACAAGAAAAGTCAACTAACATTTATTGCATTCTATTTTTAGTAGTTTTTACTATAAAAAGTAAAATTCTGAACTATAGAAAGTAATAGCCAAATGATAAGAAAATTTAATTTTTAATTTTCAATTTGAATTGGGCCCGATTTCTATGCAATCCGATTTTTTTTTTAATAAACATGATATGTTACAATTAGGTAAACATACATGTTATAGTATTTTGCCTAATTCGAAATTCCCAATTTTATGATAAACAAAATTTTTTTTAATAACAAATGAGAGAATTTTCACTTTTACTGCCAAATTTTACATAATTTAGCCCAATTTCTATGCAATCCGATTTTTAATAAACAATTAATCTATGCAATTAATAAAAGATATATATATATATATCTGTGTGTGTGTGATAGTATTTTGCCTAATTTGAAATTCTCGATTTTATGGTAATTATTATTTTTTAAATGAAAAATGAAAATGAATTTCGACTTTTGAAAAATTGTAAGCATCAGTCGAAATTTACCTACATTAAATCTACAACACCCATGAATTTAAGGTACATATATAGCTGATTGACTTTTTTAGGAATAATTTTTTTTAAAAAAAAAAGAAGAAGTAAAAACTACCAAAAATAAAATACAATAAATGCTAATTGACTTTTCTTGTTACTATTTTTTATAAACAAGTTGTCCCTTTATATATAGAGAGAGAGATTTGTTAGCCGAAAAAATACATAGAATTTGATGATGCAAGTTGCTTGCAGCGCACAGAAACCTACTCCATGTATTAGCAAAATCTACTTGATAGACCACTCAAAACAAAATATATTATATAAACATAATACATGGTAAGTGGTAACAACGACGCACATAATTGAGCACGCAATATTACAATGAATTGGAGTCGCGAAAAAACCCTCGGAAAAGGCGATTTTGGAACTGTCTCTATTGTCAAACCCCGACACACTCCCGGCGACCGTCACACCAATCTACCGCCACTCATCGCCGTCAAATCCACTGTTTTTTTTTTTTTTGGTGTTTCATACTAATTATTTTGAATTTATTTTCAGACTCAAGCCCTGAGGGAGTTTATAACTCGTTAGCGAGTATTGAAGACATAATTCCTACACTCCCTCCACGGGCACATGCCGCATTCCAACAGTACTACAACCTTGCCTATAGTTCACTGTTGGAGGCCAAGATGTTACGCAAGGGGCGTCGTTCAGTCAAGTTCTATCCGAGAAGGACTACGTCCCATCTCAGAAGACACAGTCACACAAGACGAGGCATCAAATATTGGTTAAAATTGCTCCATTTATGAAGCCCATTTATGAATCCCTAGCATATATCTTGGTTAAAATTGGTGGCAGCAGTAGTGATTTTCATATCAGCAGCAAAACTCCATAACATGGATCTATCTATAGTTTTACGGAAATTTTGAAAAGCACAGAAGATAAAAACTCCATCAAGTATAATCATAATAGATATTGTCAAAAACAAATGTCTACCTGGAAGACAGAGAAAACAAAAGAAAAAGGATAGGACACTTACGAAAACTTGACTGATATAACGTTCGTCATAGAATGAGATGCATTGAGGAGATTTAGAAAATGAAGGTGAAGAGTCTGAAGAAGCAAAAACAATCTCTCTCCTCAGTGTTCGCCGGGCAATGACTTAATGATATCTGAGTCACCTACATTGTGAATAAACAATTAAATATAATACAAGACATCCCATAAAACACGCAACAAAAGAAAGAGTAAATAATGGTTAAAAAAATCACGTACCTGGATCAACGATGCTTAGGCACGAAACACGAAAGTACTTTCCACAAGCAGTCCCCAAATCAACATTATCTGTGGTATATGAAGAAAATAGGACTTAGTCTCTCATTTAGTTTTCATGTTCAATATTTGAAACCTCAATATGCTATAAAGCAATTATAACAAAACCCAAATAAACTTTTGTAGCATCAAAAGTTCAGGCAATAGAGGATATACTCTGAACCACTTCGCAGGGTCTTTAAGAAAACACAAATTCTTGTGCAAGGCCGCCTAACTGTTAGGCTGGTTGACCCGTCATTTCTTTTTTTTTTTGTACCAAAAATGCAAACTTATGCTATGAAATGCCATACTTTTGTTTATATTTTTTTTAGAGCATTAGAGCATGACATGTCTAAAAAAGCGGCATGAAGTTTTAAAATGATGGTGCTGCCAATAAAGATCTTAAAGACAAAAGCTTCCCATGAGTTTGTAGAAAATGCATTACGAAAAGAACAAGAAATAACAGAAAACACCAGCATAGCATTTACTTGATAAGTTCATACACTACATTATAAGCCCTCCGTGAAACATTATCCAACTTACATTACATTATACGTTTTAAACACTACATTA